CCTACATCACAGAAATCGTTTCCTGGCTCGGGTTCGCAGACGTTATTTTCGGCGGAGACAAGCGACAGCCGGAAATACGTCTGCATTCGCAGGCTAATTCTCCGCTTGTCACTGGCAATGTTTTAAGCGCGTAAGTCGTAGAGATTAGACAGATCTCTATTATCTGCTTTATGCGGTGATATTTTTTGTCTAATTATGACTGTTTTTCTATCTCCTTTTTCAGGGCTGATTTACAAATGACATTCCTTGATCTTGGAGTTTTAAATGTTTTGAAGGTTGGCATGAATGCTATAATTTTCAACCAGTAAAATCATGTTAAAATCACAATGCTAGATTTTTAAAATACCCAAAACCTGAAATCTTTGTTTCATGACGATTCAGTTTAAATTCAAAGTTTTTTCTTTTAGTAAGTCATGAACGATATCTTTGGCTTATTTTATTTCACACTACAGGAGTGGATTAGTCCTTTGCCAGACGGCTCATTACCACATCTGCAGATTCGGGAAGGATTACTCAAAGTGTTGGCTGAGGTAACTCTTCACTAGTCTATCCCTGTTATCTTACATCAAGCGTTCCCTCGCTTGCCCCACCATCCCCTGACTCGTCGATTTTTTGCCCTCGCTCCAAATTACGCGCGGCCAGAATGCGGGAAAAGCTCGTCGTGCGGGAACGCTTGCTAGGTTGGCTAATCATGTATAAACCACTACCATTGATTAACCGGCCTAGAGTAGTGCGTGTGTTCTCACGACTATTATTTTGTTTTCTAGTTTTTAGCCAAATTTGACCTTGTGAATCGCTTGGAGAAGTGATTGAAAAGTAGAGCAAACTGATAAATGTTTAAAGGATACATTTCTTTTTTATCTTGGAAAATCCTTTTTGTCTCAGTAGCAGCGGGGACGAGTTTTCTCTAAACGATACTACAGTGGAACCCTGTTAATACGGTCACCAACGGGCCGTGAAAATTTGGCCGTATTCACTGGGTGGCCGTATTAACGGGGTAGTGTCAAACCTCATGACTGGTGTAGATTGAGTGACGTCTTAACAGATATATAGCAACTGCACATCTAAACAACTGTTCTTGTAAAATATTAACAATGGAAAGATGAACATAGCTGGTTTGAGTGGCCGTATAAACGGGGTAAAATTATAGAGGGTTATATAGGTCAGGATTTTAGAATGTGGCCGGCGGCTTTATTAATGGAGTGGCCGCATTAAGGAGGTTTTGTCATGAGAAAATCATAATGTATGGGTATTTCGCCGGGACAAAAAAGTGGTCTTAATAATGAGGTGACTGTAACGAGGTGATTGTTAGGCGGGGTTCCACTGTATGTATTTAAGCTGTAAAAGTGATACTACTACTATAAATAGTTTCATTCTTAATCAGTTGTCTTACACTTGTTTTTTTTAGTTTCCGCCTATGGACGGCAGAGCGCTAAAAATGAGCGGCATTGGTAAAGGAGTTATGTACCTGTGTCGTCACCCAAAGGAGACCAGAGAGAACAAAAAAGTAGCGGGAAAACTCATTAGTGAGTATCAGCAAGAGAAATAGCTACTACTTCTGTGCTACATGGACATGTGGTCCCTTATTCTTCCGTGTGTTCGTCGAGGGAAAGTATCACAACAACCGAGAGGGCGGAGTGGGCATCAGATCCCCCTACCTCCCCCTATTGGTAGACCTGGTACTCTCGCTATTTGAGACCAAAGTAGTGGCTGTTTGTTGTTGGAGTGCGATCGCGACAGATACACGGAATACTCCAGCTGGGGGCCGCAAACTGTTTGGCTTGACTTGTAATCAATACTTTAATCTTTTCTTATCTGTACTCTAATAATTAGAATTTCTCATGTGATATTAAATATTGTAATAAACGTTTATTTCAGATGATTGGGCGCGACCGATATTTGGTGTCACTTCAAACTTCAAGTCGCTTAGTCGAGAGGAAAGAGAAGAACGCGACTATCAAAATATGTCCAAGAAAAGGCGGTTAAGGTAACGAGTCAAATTATGTTTTAACAACTACAGATAACCGTAAATTTCTGAAAATGGTCCATAGGTTTGTTGTTATTGGGGCCGCCAGACCTTGAGTTAAATGGGGAGGGGGGAGGGGCGCGGAGGCGTTTTGTTTTTGCTTGCCCCTTCCCTAGATCCGCCACTGGCTTTATCTTTGACCTTTGTTCGGAAACAGAGGGTAGAATTTTTCTCTTCAAGAGAGATGACTTAAGCATTTGCATGTGAAAGATCTCAGGGTAGAAGTCGCAATATTGTCTGTGTAGATAGTGGAAGCTTGAAAAGAAAATCGAAAAGTCGCGAGATAAATTTCCTCAGACATTTACTTTGTTAATACTTGAGAAGATTCTGTTCACTCAGGTCAAAATTGTCTTTTATGGAATAGTGTTTTTTGTCAATAATTTTGGACAGATTATTAACTTTTGTTCTTTTAACTAGGTTTCTTCCCCTGTCTGAAGATTCTTTTCTTCTTCTTTAGTTCAGTAGATAGCGACGGAGGGAAGACGCCTAAGTCTATTGATTCTGCTCTGCAGAGCGAAAAAAAGTGAGTAGACACGGTGCCATTTTCTTCAGTTGTGCTAAATTCTCAACTTATCCGTTTTCATCTCTTTCTTAGAGCCGTGAGGCCTGGTGACAAAGGTTTCGTGATGCGAGCCCGCGTTCCTATGCCGTCCAACAAGGATTATGTCGTAAGACCGCAGAATAGCATTGAACGAGCTGATTTTAACAGGGTGAGTACTGGCTGATAAAAGTGATTTTAAGGCCCATTTAGACGGTGATATCATTGTCGCTTGGGATTTTTGTAGCTCGCGCTGTTCACGCGGTACCATAATCGCGAACAAATACCGTTCGCAGTCCAGTTGCAAGTCGTCAAAATCCCTTATTGTAGTATTTTCGACATCAATTTCAGAAACCGCAAAAGTCCATGGACAGGTTTGAAAAGCAGAAAAGAAAGTTCGAAGAGAAGAAGAAATTACTCAACAGAGGATCACAGAGAGCTGTCGAAATCAGCATTGAAGGAAGGAAAATGGCGCTGTGATCATAAAATGGCGATCTTTGCGTACCGGTTACACGAAGTAGGATTATGACGGAATCAGCTGGCCGAGAAATTCGCTGTTTTCTTGTGTCAGTCCTCTCTGTGTACAACAAACCGCGGGACCCTCGAGAATTACTTAAAGTGCAAATGAAGTGACAATTTCTATCCTAAAATTTGTAAATTTAGTGGGATTGTAAAAGTTTCCTTGGCGGCAGAGGCACTGAATGTGTTCAAGTGACCAAGCAATCTAACAAGAAGTGGTCAGATCAGTCACGCAATGAAACTTCCTTTTCCAATAATTCTGAAAGTTTGAGAGGCCGATTTGCACTGAAAAAGATAAGAGTAACGGTGGACTTACAATCGTGAATATCCTGCATCGTATCGCATGGGAAGCAAATTTCTCCCAACCCCAAGAAAATTTTGAAAGACTCTTTAACTCTCGTCCCCAGATCACCTGCAGTCAGTTGCAGAGTAAGAACTGGTGACGAGATTGCCAAAACGTTCTGGCATTATCTTGGGTTGTTCCGTGATTGGATGTCAAACAAGCTTTTCATTGAGAAAGAAGACTATTCATTTCAGGTGCACTTAAAGAACAAAGAACGAAACCAAAAAAATGGGCGTGCGAACAAATTAGGGCTATCATCTCTCGACTTTACCAAGCTTTTTGTTCGTCGTATGGACTTGATTTAAAATCCCTGTACAGGAAGTAAAATAACGGTCTTATCAGCCCCACTAGACAGCCAGAAAATAACAGTAATCGGGAAAAGCGTTTTCATTGTTTTTACCAATGAGCTGAAAGGAGTTGTTTAAACTTTTATGTTTTACTGATATTTGCGACTTGAGAAAAATCCCTTTCGCTGAACTGCGGCGATGCGATTTCATCTACTTTCCATTTTGTACATGTAAATAGCTCAAAAATAAAATAAATGGATCTAAATGTGAACAGACATAGTGATGTTTTATAACTACTCCTGTACAATAACGACTTATTAACCGAGAGTGAGGTCTTTACGGGAAAATCTCAGACCGAGACCTTGCCGTATTGCGAGGTTAATACGGCAACGTTGCGGTTTGAGTTTAATAAGTTGTTCATTATATGGCTTTTCGCTTTGTTTTTGCAAGCCCGGAATCGGCCCGTGGGCATTACGGGAGAATAATGCCCTGGAATTGGCTAATCAGAGCGCGCTTTATGTCGGTTACAATCACAAGCCATATAATGAAGTATCGTAAAGTCGGGACACAATAGATGGTGACAT